TATTCTGCACAATACCGAAGATTTTGTGACCGCAAAATTTTATTACTAAAAAATATTACCACTTGTCACCGCGATTCTAGGTACGTAGGTAATGCAGTGAAAATATTCAGCAATTCAGCTATGAAGATTTGTGAAAATTCCTGTATTGCATATTTCACGGGGCAATATTTTGTTATCAGCTTATGAGATGGTAACGAAAATTTACCGGTTACAAGAGAGCACAGAATGCGAAAAAGGTTTAAAAATTGACAGATACTTTAATTACCGGTTACAAAATTTATGTTACCGCAGAATAGACCTATGAATATATTTTTATGCATGTTCGGAGATGTGATCTCTGCACTTAATATCAAAAATATATCGTGCAATATTATTAAATAAGACATTGAGATTTCTGTTGCACGTAGTATCGCAATTAGCATACAGCTCGCAACCATAAAGCATGGTTGGAAGCAAATATTTCTTGGCTAAAAGCAGTCTGACTTTAATTGGTGTGAAGTACTGGGTAGTCCATAAGGAGCGCAACATTCCATACACTTTGCCTATTACTTTAAAAATGTGGTCCTTCCATGTCAATGTTCTGTTGAAAGTCACGCCCTGTTTTTGCATCATCAACGATATTTATTACCGAATTGCCTAGCGTTACTTTTGAATAATTGTCTTACTTACAAGTGTTTTTTGTAAATTTTAATACACTGGAACTTGCTCGGATTCCATAGTAGGCCATTATCAGTAGCCCAGCCATTTACTCGACACAGATCAGCATTAAGATTACGTATGCAAGCATTAATTGACTTTAGTGGGCAATCCAGATATAATTGCACGTCACGGTAGATCGTTCACATATGGGTCAAAATTTCTCAACTGGACCTCGGATTTCAGTCAAGTTCGAATTTTTGCGTGAAAATTTGTGTATAGAGAGGTTTCTAGATGTGAAAGGGATTCTGAGAATTTTTTTTAAAAATTTGAATTTTTAAAATTTTTAGAGGCAAATATATTTTTAAGCAATGTTTTTTTCAAAACCACTTTTCTCTTAAAGTATTTGACTAAAGTTGATGGTTTTTTTTGTAAGCGTAGTGACGGCTTAAAAAAATATTTTTATAATTTAGAATTTTTTTTTTTTAATTTATACATTAAAAATATTCAAGTTGCATTAAAAATATGTTCTCAATGAGTTTCACATTTCGTTTATATTTTCGAAAACTGCATTTATTGAAGAAAATATTTGTAAACAAAATTGTTAGATCTTTTCTGTTACTTACAGCAACATTTGTCACAGCGCGCACGCATCGTGAACCATGTACGCTCACCGCCTTTGCACGCAACGTGTTCACTAGAAAGCGCGTACAGGAGCAACTAACAATTGGCTCATATTTCTGACTTTTAACGTAACCTCATATAATAATGATGGCATTTATGGTATTTTTAATGCATTTTTAGGTTAAGTTTTGGAGGTATGTGTTAAAATAATCCCATTAATTCCATATTTTCGGAGTTCACACACAACATTATTACCACGGAACGGATTTTTAGGACCTAAAAACCTACAAAAAAAAAAGGGAAAATAGGAAGGAAAAGGCACTAGAAGGCAAAATAAGGCACTAAATAAAGACAAAAACCGAAAAATAATAAAAAAAATTGATTTATTTTAGAAATATTTATTTTACAGGTAAAAAGAGAAAAACTATGAACTACATAGTTTTATTATATTTATCAAAAATTTGTACTTTGAATCTTTGACTATTTTCTCCATTTGAGTTTTTAACTCGCAAAACTTTAATCTTTATAGTTGTAGTAACATTGAACCACAAGATGCATTTTGAAGTTTTCTGGCAGCATTTTTATTAGATGTTCGCGAAGAAAAGCCTTAAATGTAATAAACGTGCGCTCGACGTGAGTTGATACAAGTGGCGCCCAATTTAAATGTGGAACGTTTAAAACTTTCATATTATCAGGAATAAGGGCTTGCCCTTTACAATTAAAGTTAGTAAAGGCGAATATCTTAAAAAAGGCAACTTCAGATGTGTAAATGTATATAGAATCAGGGAAAGCTAAATCGTAGTTATTCTTAATCGAATATACCCTCTCTCTTTAGCAGAAAAAAGGCAATTTCGATAAAATCCGTTCCCTGATTATCACAAACATATGGGCAAATTTTCGGTGTTATATATGCATCGGTGCACTTTTTATTGCATTTTTAAGACGTTTTTGAAGTTAGGTTTATATGGGAGGTATGCTTTAAAATAAATCGATTTCGCCAATTTTTCGTTTTTTTTTTATTTCTTCATAAATGTTGCACACGGAACATTGAGGTTATACGCCGACTCCTATTTTTCCAAAAAATTGTGTGGGGCTGTACCACTGTGCGACGTTGAACGCTTGAGCAATAACAATAAAAAAATTATTAGACATAAGATTTACATACTTATGGTTGGCTGATGGCACTAGAACCATACAGTTGCGTGTGAACTCCAAAAAATGGACTTGATCAGATTATTTTAACACATACCAAGTTTAACCTAAAAATGCCTTAAAAATACCACAAATGCCATCATTATTATGTATATAAGGTTATGTTAAAAGTCGCAAATATGAGTCAATTGTTAGTTGCTTCTGTACGCGCTTTCTATTGAGCACGTTGCGCGCATAGGCGGTGAGCGTGCATGGTTCACGATGCGTGCGCGCTGTTGCTGTCAAAAAAAGAGAAAATCTAAAAAAAAAATTTAAAATTTTCTTGAATAAATGCAGTTTTCGAAAATATAAACGAAATGGAAAACACTCATTGAGAACATATTTTTAATGCAACTTGAATATTTAAAATGTTTAAATAAAAAAAATTATTCTAAATTATAAAAATATTTTTTTTTAAGCTCTAATGTCACTACGCTTACAAAAAAATTTCATCAACTTTCGTCGAATACTTTAAGAGAAAATTAGTTTTGAAAAAAGATTGCTTAAAAATATATTTGATTATAAAAACTTTAAAAATTAAAATTTTCCAAAAAAATTCTCAGAATCCCTTTCAAATTTTCACGCGAAAATTCGAACTTGACTGAAATCCGAGGTCCAGTTGAGAAATTTTCACCAATATAAGACAAACAGCAACGGTCCAAATATTGAGNGTTGAATCGAAAATCGCCTCGTCTGAATAGGGATGGCAACTTTTTCACTTTCAACTTCTCATTCAACTACGTATTCAACTTTTGTTGCCTGTAAAATCGCCTCGTGCGAATGCCCTATAAGATCTGACCAGGCTTACAGCTTGGCTTGAGTTTTAAGCAAAGTAATTTGTGGTCACCGAAGTCAAAAGCCTTTGAGTGATAAACTAAAGTTAAAAAAGTTATATGATCTTTGTCCATATTTTGCCTTATATCGTCAGAGTAGTAATGCAGCTTCTGTTCGCCCGGAAGCCAGATTGATGAATACTAATAAGTGAATATTTACTCACAAAAATGTTTTTTTGGCGATGCATTATTCGTTCCAGAACCTTGGAAAGCAATGTNAAATTCGAACTTGACTGAAATCCGAGGTCCAGTTGAGAAATTTTCACCAATATAAGACAAACAGCAACGGTCCAAATATTGAGCCATGCGGCACACCTTCAATAACACACAAGAAGCTAGACACAGAGCTACCAACGCATACCGCTTGTGACCTCCCTAGGAGATAATAGGGCANTTCTGTTCGCCCGGAAGCCAGATTGATGAATACTAATAAGTGAATATTTACTCACAAAAATGTTTTTTTGGCGATGCATTATTCGTTCCAGAACCTTGGAAAGCAATGTCAAAATGGCAATTGGTCTGAAGTCACCATTTGGTTTCAAAAGAGGGATAATTTTAGACTTCTTCCAACAGCTCGGAAAGACGGACGTTGTCAATATAGTGTTCAAAGCGTATTTAAGGTAAAGGGGAATGAATGGCAATATACATNATTCGCTCATATATTTTCTTAGTACATTCCCTTCAAGACCAATGATTTTATGGTATTCATAAGAAAGTTTTATTGTTTAGANATAGTGTTCAAAGCGTATTTAAGGTAAAGGGGAATGAATGGCAATATACATTTAATGAATTTAGGATGGATTCCGTCAAGACCAACGGCGTTGGATTTCACAGAAAGTATGGACTCAACAACATCATATGCATCTACGCATAGAAAAGAAAACGAACTCAAGAAGTTATTAAGACAAACATTATAACCTTCATAACATTTATTACTANGTATGCACACATTTTCAGGTATACATCTTAACAAAAAGCATATTTAAGTTATTGTTAATGGATAAAAGAGACATTTTATTTGGATTCAGTACTAAAATTGNGGACGAGACAAATTAACAAACTTTGCATTTACTTCATCAACATTTACAGACAGAGATTTTACTGTGGATGCCAATTTCACGAATAGGCTTTCATGTCTGCTTTGAGCTTACTGCAGTTCCGAATTGGTGCTCATAATATTTTAACTTTGTATGAAATTAATTTGATCGTTAGCAGATTGGATCTAGCGAACAGATTTCCAGTTGATTGAATTAACACTTTAATAGTAAATATTTTAAAGTTACGGTAGGAGTAGGAAGACTGGTTGCTAACAGAACGAATGTCGAAGGTGAGAAAAATAAGATAATGTTTCGAGAAATTTGGAGCTATAAGTTGATAATACAAAAGTACACTAGACAACTCGTGAAAACGATTGTGAAAACGGAGAAAATCGGCCATCATTATGTGATACAATACTTTTATTTGAAAGGCCTCAAACGCCCATCCATTATAAAAGCTGAATTAGATTATACTTTGGGCGGGTCTGCTCCTTCGTTANATACTAAAATTGAATGGGCTAAAAACTAAAGAATATTAATAAAGCTCGAATTTTTTACGACAGTATGTTAGTTTTTGGATGTTTCGCAAAGATTTAATCTTGGGTTTATACAGTTTTTCTTAAAGAATACATTATAGTTTATAAACAGATAATTAAAATTAAAGAANGAGCATCGCAGTGGTCGACTAAATGAGGTGACGACTCCAGAAATGGTGAAGAAAATCCACAAAGCGGTAATGGATGATTGTCGACTGAAAGTGCGCGAGCTAGCAGATATAGTAGGCATTTCAAAAAGTACGGTACATCGCGTATTAGCTGAAGATTTGGAAATGAGAAAGCTGTGTCCAAGATGGGTGCCGCATTTGCTTACACTCGTCCAAAACCAGTGTCGTGAAGAGGTTTCAATTGATTATTTAGCGAATAATGAATCAATGTTTGAATTGCTACCTCATGCACCCTATTCGCCAGATTTAGCCCGCTACTATTTTCTGTTCCCCAACTTCAAAAAATGGCTCCGTGGTCAAAGATTTTCTAGCGATGAAGAAATGATGTCGGCAGTTAATGGCTATTTTGAGGAGCAAGACAGTTCTTATTATAAAAGGGGGATCGAACTTATTGAGCGTCGCTGGGAAAAGAGTATATAGCTGAAAGGAGATTATGTTTAGAAATAAATATATCTTTTCCCAAAATTTTTGTGTTTTCTTTGTTAGGTCGGGTACTTCTGGGACCACTCCCGTAAAGTCACCATGGAAGGGCATATCAGTATGAAAAGTAGATATGTGCTAATAGAGTATGTACGATATCTCTCAAGTGGGAATAAGGTAGAAGGAAATGAGAACAGTTACAGGAAGAAGGAAAAAATAGCAAATATAACAAATAAATTTATAAATTAAAGTCATACATTCTAAAATCGGTCTTAATTTAAAAAAGTTATCTATATTCATACAAAAGTTTGATTACACATGCATAGAAAACACTGATGTCAGTTGTTATTTTCTTTTGAGTTCCATTGCGAACTGCAGAACTTACGGCTATTCTTGGTGAGGCTCACGTGGATGTCTATTCTCCCGTCTGCTTTGTGCTCAATGTCTCGCAGCGCAATAGATCTCGTACTCTGCTTGTAGAAATGTGTTACGGCGCTAAGAAGTCGACATCGGTCGCTAGCAGAACCTAGGTAATTATAACAGCCGTAGCTTTGCTGTTGTTGTCATTATTGGGAACGAGGAAAATATCACGTACCGGTGGAGCAATCATGTTGACAGCGCTACACAGCTTGGAGAAGGTATCTCTTCGGATCTCTTCTTGCACTCGGAAAGTTTTTCGATGACGCTCTCTTTCTGCTGGTCCATCTTTACTTGCATTTGTTAAACCCAGTTATTTGACTGCGGGCTCTCGCTTCTTGCACTCTGAGTTATTGGAGAGGCAGCAACTTGACGGGCTGTTTTTTTCTTGTTGTTATCTCGCGGAAACAATATAAAACATTTATTTGTTCATTTTATCTTTTTCTTCGTTTTTTTTACACGAAATTTTCACAATAGTGCGATGAATTAAGGGCTGGCCTGTACGGGACTTTGTTTGAGTTAGTTAAATTATTTTACTGTGGAAAAACGCGAACATATGCACAAAATATTGCCGCACTGTCCGCAACACGTCTACTCAGCACGCTTGCACATCTTCACTTTTGATATCCCACCCACGGTAAAAATAAAATTTTGACCAGTTTTAACAATTTTTTTGTTGTTTAATATTCATAATTTTTTTTGTAGAAGTATAGCCCGCTATCTAACAAAAACCATATAAATCCGAATGTAAGACTTTGTGCAAAATATATAAAAAGTTCAATGAAGTTTCACCGAAATTTCAAACTTTATAAAATTCTTTTTGAAAAATTCGAAGTATAGCCCATTAAATTTTAGTACAATAAGGTGCAAGTTTGAAGTTTCTAGAAGGACATTCATATTTTTTGGACGGTAAAAACATTCTTCGTCGAATCATGACACCCAGTTGTAAACTTACGCCAGATTGCACCTATATTACCCAATATAATAAAAATGCCATCTTTTATTCGGAATATTTACTTAAATCGCAAAGCTTGTTTATTTATTTTAATGTGATATTAAACTTAAAATTTTAATTATTCATTTTTTATGTTTTTTTCGGTTCATAGCCTCTGACAAGATTAAATAAAAAAGTAACATTAATCAAATTAAATTTCTCAAATTAGTTCTGAAGGTACATTTTATGCTTAAGTTTGTTAGTTGCTTTAACATGGACTCTTGCGGAAAGTGTGGCAAATCATTTGCGCCAAATGATACCTTAATTGTGCGGTGCAGTGGTTTTTGTCAAAAACAATTTCACCGTACTTGCTGTGTGGGCCAAATATCAGAATATGATGTTAGACTATGTTCAAACAGGGCAGTTGGCTGAGGCAATTAAGCTTTAAATTGCGGCATTGAGTTTGGTGTTCACACACGCCTCAGCTACGCAATTAGCGATACGAAATCAGCTGTTAGATTACCTACAGTGATGGAAAAGTTGGTACAATGGTACTTTTATTTAATTTGAACGTACATTCGGTACAAACACAATTTTAGGTACATTTGGGGCCAAATAACTCCCAGGAAATCGGTTCTTATTTTTGTTGAAATTTCAATGCATTTTCTGGTGCGAGCAACTGGTCTAATAGCTTCCCTCCTTTGTGAAGGGGCATACAAATGATACAGAAGGGTGGTCAAAGTAGCGCACCTGTAGTTGCTTTCGCTAGATAGACAAAATATTTACTTTTAAAATGTCAGACCGAAGAACTGGGAGGAAAGTGATCCACTTTTTCTTCAACATAGTTTTGTTTCGCACCGCTCGAACAGATTCTTTTCATAGCCAAAATTTGTTTAATGTGAGTGTAGAAGTTGATACGGTATCGATGGGAATTGTTATCCTCTTATTTTCTTTATATAGAAATACATATTTACTTTTTAGGCACATCTATCTACTTTTAGGTAAAGTTTTCCGTAAATAAGGTGCAATTTATAATTAAATTTTCCTTCCCTGATGGAATATCAGCTGTAAAAGAGGACCAGAAGCAAACAGCTGATTGCTGTTTGTTCAATAAACATACGTCCAAGTCAAAATTAAACATACCTAGCAGAGTTGCATAGAGAATCTGACACAAATTAATTGCCACAAATTAATTGACCTGAGCACGGACTTAAGCTGCCACACTACTATTTTCCACCTGGAGATCTTTATATCTCGGGTCAAGAAAACAAGCTAACTGCTCTGGTAATACTTCAAAGTCTTCAAGTGCAAGAGTCGTCTTCGAGTGTAAACCGCTTTTTGAGGGAATAAACGATACTGGATTTGAAGTTGGTCACTTGTCACTTTGGTTTCGCTACATACAAATTTTGTTGCTACGTGTAGCGGCTTCAAAAGTGTTATTAAACCTTCCATTATACCCCATCCATGCTCAAATATCTCCAAATTGAGAGCCGTTGACGAATTTGTGTATGCTCTGTCACCTAAAATTGCTCACACAGCTGAGCGATTCCGGTACAGAACATCGCACATAAAATAAATGGAGTCCCATCGAGTAGGGCAGCTTTGAACCAAACGTTCTTCGTTAATTCCTAGCTGTCTTTGTTAATTACGGCTATCGTTGTAATATTGGAATGTTTAAAATGGGAAACTATTTTCTGAGCTTTGCTTTGAATCATATTGTACTCCTCAATGTTTTGCAGTGCATCTTTAATGCACAACTGCAACGTGTGACCTGCACAATTTATATTATCTTTATTCAAAAAGCGGCCTGCTGCTTTCATGACGTTAGCATTATCATGAACGATAGAATGAACTTTGGTACAGATATTCCAATCTTCTTGTACCATATCTAACATTATCGCGATATTGTCAGTGGTAGAGCGTTCTTCCATACCAACAGTATTTAGCGTATGTGTACACAAAGACCAGCTATAATCAATGTAGTGTACGGTCATGGACAAATACTCTTCATGTGCCTGGGGGTAAGGCACCTTATATCTGAGATCAACTTCTTTCAGGAAGTTAATAAATCCTTGGCTGTGCGAAAAAGACAATGGCAATTGGCACATACACAGCTATCATTTTTGCGAGAGCTTTGGTAATATTATCTTGTCTTTTTGACGGACAATGAGGCGCGGCTTCTTGCGATGACGATGACTACGAGTCCCTCGGTCTTTTAATCATAACACCTTCTTCATTGTTGTTTGCGGGCTCGGGACTGAATGATTCATGTATGCTAGAATCAGAGCGCTCCTCTTCGTTTTCATCTTCATGCAAAAGTCTAAATGAATCGGAACAGAGTATCAACTTAACTGTCTAGATTACAAACTTTGTATTTTCTGTTTTTTAATTTATATGGGTTTAATGGTGCCTTCTGTTATCATTTTGGTACATAAATTTATAATAGTATGCTCTGATGAAGTAAAGACAGAAATATCTGTTTGTTTTTCGGCACATACCTTTCCTTTACCGATACAGAAAGCTTGTGTTTCTGCTTTAAATGCTTGTGCACAGTTGAAGTGGATCCTCCATAATGCAAATTGGTGTCACATACATTACACTTGACGAATCCGTCATTCATCACACAAGCATACTTCAAAACCCAGCTTCTTTTAGGCATGTCTAAAGCATTAATATTTACGAGTTGATAATGCACGTAGTTATCGGATCGTTAACAAATAAAACTATTGAAACACACCCACCTGCGAATCTAAATGATGACCGACAGTTGAAGAAATTTTTGTGTTTAAATGAACATTTTTTAAAATATCTTTCACAATTATTTCACAACAATACGTTCATCATACTACTTCTCGCTTTAAGGAAACTTCATTAAATAATTTTGATTTTAAAAGCTTTAAATATTTTGTGAAAAGAATCTATAATTTGAACAAGGTGTTACAATAAAAGTACAAAATCTTTAGGTGAATGAATAAGAATAAGGCTTTGTCAGCTTACTTTTTGTACCAAAAGTGGCCTACCAACCTAATGTATGAAATGCACTTCTAGTGTCTAACAACAACAACACAAATGGGCCAACCAAACAAACTACCGAAATTAGAATATGTGACAACAACAATTATATGGGGAACGGCGCCAACTATTAGATAATACGTAACTACTTGACAAAAAGCAACACCAGAGGGAGCCGAATACACAAAGCAAAAAATAAAACACAAAAGAAAAAGAGAACAAAAGTCTGGGGAACGTCCTGCTACAGAACAAGGCGAGAACAAAAGTTTTGAGAACTTAACGTTAAGAATGAGAGGGGCGTCTGCGTGTTCGGAGGAAAAGTAGTTTCAGTGAGAACCAGAAATGTGGTTTCCTAAGCCAGAGGAAAGCTGGATCATTTCAACTTCCAGATCCTTATCATTATGGTGAACCATTTATGGAACAATTTCTCATTTTCTGTGAAAGAAAAGTTCGTGTCTTAAGTCTTTCGTCAACTTTATTTGCATAATTATGTTTCAGTTCTTTTTTGATTAACTTTAATATTCAAACATTTCAAAGTAATGGAACGCTATGAGATAGCTCAGAGAAGATTTGTTCCTTTTTCGTTCTCCTTATCATTATGATGAACCATTTATGGAACAATTTCTCATTTTCTGTGAAAGAAAAGTTCGTGTCTTAAGTCTTTCGTCAACTTTATTTGCATAATTATGTTTCAGTTCTTTTTTGATTAACTTTAATATTCAAACATTTCAAAGTAATGGAACGCTATGAGATAGCTCAGAGAAGATTTGTTCCTTTTTCGTTCTCGTTATCATTATGATGAACCATTTATGGAACAATTTCTCATTTTCTGTGAAAGAAAAGTTCGTGTCTTAAGTCTTTCGTCAACTTTATTTGCATAATTATGTTTCAGTTCTTTTTTGATTAACTTTAATATTCAAACATTTCAAAGTAATGGAACGCTATGAGATAGCTCAGA